GGGAGGCTGGTTGGGGATGATCATCCGCTTGTGGCCGGTGACTGGGGTTGACACGGACGGGGTGGTGGCAGCGGAGCTGCTGGGGGTCCCAGGGCCCTGCAGAGCAAGGAGAGAGAGCCTCGGCATCAGCAGGAGCGGCCGCTCCGGCGTCAGGCCAAGCAGCAAGGGGTTAAGTGGAAACAGGGTTTTACAGTAACATCTGCGCAGCAACTCAAACTGCTTAAGAAGCAGGCATGTACCTGAGACCACACGTTATAAAATGGTAACAGCAACCTTCCCCTGCTCCGACAGAACAGGGACAGTGCCACTCTAGCCGAGCAGAACCGCCGCGTGCGGCATTTCATCTCTCATTGGAGTTTTCTCCCCCACCTCCACACAAACAAACAAACTAAAAAGTGATAAACGCAAGAAAAAGGGAGATTCCCTGGAGAATAATTAGGGGAAGACCTATGCATTCCTGTGAAAATAAGAGTGTTTTGAAAAAGAGAGAAAATGAGATTAGAGTCTCTATGGAGGCACCAAAATGGGATGGCCTGAAAGCAGCTCCCAAACCGTAAGAATTAGCTTGGATCAAAGCAAAATATCGAGGTGTCGCAGCCCCTGGCTCCACTCCTAAGCGCTGCTGGTTGAAAGCCTGGAGTGACCCCAGCAAAGGCAAATGTTACACACAGGTCGTTAAAGGGCAGAAAGCGGGCCAGAATTCCTAAGAGCTGCAGAAGTCAGCTCCCGCCATGGCAGCCAAGAAACCCTGCACCAGTGCCCCAGGCATCGCAGCACCCAGGCAGCCCGGGAAGAGGTTCACAGCAGGTGCCGCCGCTTCATGCCATTTGGCCACCAAACGAAGATTTAGTGGAGTGACACTGTCCTAGTAGGCATCGTACATCCTTCTGTCCAATGAACTTGTTTGTCTGGTTTACCTCTTATTTAAATCCCATGTCCAAAAACACCGGTGTGAAAGGACATCCTTGTTAAAGAGCTAACAATGTGAAATAGTTTCTGAAGAACACTGAAGATCACCATTTTTTCACTAAATCAAAAGAAGAGCAAACCTGAATTTTGGAAGTTTAGGGTCAGGCAAAATTTCTTGCCACTCTCTATTTTCCTTTATTCTGAAAGAGTACCTGCATTTCATGCCTTTCTTTACAGAGATGCATTAAAGGGCAGACATGCAGTCTGACAGTATTTCTTTGCTGTGGCATTTAACGCGGCAGCTATACATCATCCAAACTTCCCGCACCAGACTTGGTC